TTCAAGGTACTTGGAATTGATGATAAGTTTATCATAATGCATCTTCCTTGACTTTGTCTTGATCCCGCATGTTTATTAATTATACTACATGTATAAGAGAATAAACTTCAAAGTGCCATTTCTCTAACATGTATGGGTACATACGTTGTATACTCTATATGAAGTTACACTTATCCAAAATCAGATTATTAACTTTATATTATACTAACTTTACTTTAATGTCACTTATATTTCCGCACTTTATATTTTCCCCTCTTTACTTTTTTGCCCCTTATCATCCATAGCATTTTCTTTTCTTTACTTTATGCATTTTTTCTTTGCTTACTGAGCATTTATCTTCTCTTTGCTCACTTGAGCTTACTTTTTTTTGGTTGTTATAAGCCACTTAATAAAGAAAAAACCTAAAATTGGTTCTTTAATCCTTGGACTATAGTTACTATCCATTTTTATTTGATGCATGGTTCTTTTTCGGTCTTCATCTGATTATTATCTTTGTGTTTGAATCTAATGAAAACGATTAATTTGTTGACTTCATGTCATCAAATGTATTTTATATGATTGTGCGAATTCCTTCATCCATCTTTAAGTTTTTCTAATCTAAAGTTAAATCTCCAAAAATCTCATTTTTTAAACTTACACTCTTTTAAGCCAAAACCTCGACATTAATTCGTTGCATTTTCAAAATCCCTTTAAACTAATGTTTTAGCAAACAACTAATTTTAATACACAAATATATTAAGAGGTTCTTGTAGAGTACTATAGATGCATTGGGTGCTAACACCTTTCCTTTGTATAATCAACCCCTAAACTTTAGATCTCTCTATTGCACTTGCTTTTACTTCTTACATTGCATATTTACTTATGGATTTTATTTCTCTTTTTTCCCCTTCCCTTGGAAATAATAAAGTACGGTGGCGACTCTTACTTATTTACGAGTCAAGTTAATTAATAGCTTGCTCTCTGATTTTAACCGCTACATGAAGGAAATATTAGTTTGTTAACATGAAACCCTCAATGAAGAATACAATAAAATTTGTAAATGACAATACTCTAGCAGCTGAAGGTATTAGAGATGTTTTGATTATGAGGAAAGATGACAAGATGTCAGTAATTTCTAATGTGTTGTACATACCAAGCATGAAGAGAAACATGCTCAGCATATGGCAGTTGGTCGGAAAAAAATACAAAGTGTTAGTCAAAGACAATGAGAGTCGTCGATTCCAATGGAAGGTTAATCTTAAAGGCTCCTATGTCTCAAAAAGAACCTTCAAGGTTGAACTTAATGTGATGGAGCACAAATGCCTTTCGACTACAGCTAGCATATATGAATGTATATTGCATTATCGACTAGGTCATCTCAACTTCAGAGACATCATAGATTTGAAGAGAAGAAATATGGTTTCAGGATTTCCAGAAATTGACACTCCAAATGAAGTGTGTGAGGAATGTGTGCTGGCGAAGCAGCACAATAATAGCTTCAGTAAAGATGTATGAAGCATGTCGAAGGCTATTCTTGAAGTCATATATTCTGATGTATGTGGACCAATCAAGGTGGATTTGATGGGAGGTAAAAAATACTTTTTTTACATTCATAGATGATTTCAGTAAAAAAACTATGGACTTACATGATCAAGAAGAAAAGTGAAGTGATCGAGGTATTTGCCAAGTTTAATTCTATGGTCGAAAGACAAAGTGGTTGAAAGTTAAAAGTTTTGAGAACTGGTGGTGGTGAAGAGTATGTTTCGAAAGACTTCGACATGTTATGTGAAAAAGAAGGGGATGTACATGAGGTGGTGCCACCCTATACTCCACAACAAAATGGAACTGGAGAAAGAAAGAATCGAACCATCATGAATATAGTGAGAAGTATGTTGAAAGGCAAGAATTTACCTAAAGAGTTTTGGAGTGAAGTTGTGTCGAATGCAACATATATTTTGAACATATGTCCTACGAAGAAGCTAGAAGGAATTACTCAAGAGGAATGTTGGTCTGGTACGAAGCCTAGCTTAATTCATTTGAAGGTGTTTGGATCTATTACCCATAAACATGTGCCAGGTTAGTTGAGAAGAAAACTTGATGACAAGTCGAGTCAAATGATTCTAGTTGAATATCATTTGACAGGAGGTTATAATTTATTTGTCCCACTAAACAAGCAGATTGTGATCAGCAAGGACGTGATCATATATGAGCTTAAAGAATGGGATTAGACTGAAAATGTCAAGAAAGATTCAGTGGGAATCCTACTTGAAGAACTAGAAACTCAAGTCGAAAGAGAAGTTAGACAAGAGGAACCAACATTATTAGATCAACCAAGTATAAACAGACCTCAAAGAACAAGACACATGCCTGCAAGGTTACAAGATTATGTGATTACATCAGAGGATATAATTGATAACAAAGGTGAGCTGATACATTATGCTTTCTATACAGATGTCAAACTTGTAAATACAGCTGAAGCATTAAAGGATTCAAAGTGGGTGAAAGCAATGAACAAATAAGTGAAGTCCATCGAAGACAACAAAACTTGGTCACTTGTCGAATTGCCTCAAGGAAAGAAGGAAATTGATATCAAGTGGGTTTACAAGATAAAGATGAATCCCAAAGGGGTAGTAACTCGACACAAAGCAAGACTTGTGGCAAAAAGATTTCTCCAGAAAGAAGGAATAGACTTCAATAAAGTTTTTTCACCTGTGGTTAGGATCGAAACAATCAGGTTTATTGTTGGTCTAGCAGAAATAAACAGTTGGCACATATGTCAGATGGACGTGAAGTGTGCATTCTTGAATGAATCCTTAGACGAAGAAGTTTATGTTAAACAACCAGTTGGGTTTGTAAAACATGACGAAGAGAGAAAGGTGTACATGTTGCATAAAGCCATATATGGTTTGAAACAAGATCTAAAAGCTTGGAATAAGAAGATTGTCAATTTTCTAAGGGAGAATGAATTTGTGAAGTGCACAACTGAATATGGAGTATATGTAAGAAGAAGCAACAGTGAATTGCTTATACTATGTCTCTATGTCGATGACTTGTAATAATAGATAGTTGCAAGAAGGAGATCGAAGACTTCAAATGTGATCTCAGCAAGGAATTCAAAATGTCTGATCTGGATGACATTTCATACTTCTTTGGTATCGAATTCTACAAGAGTAGTATAGGTTTGATGATGCATCAAAGAAGATATACAGAAGAAATTCTCAAGAGATTTGAGATGGAAGAATGCAACTCGACTTTGACACCTACAGAACCAAGACTGCAATTGTCGAAAGATGCAGAAGAAGATGATGTCGACCCAATCTAATATAGAAGACTTATTGGGTCATCAAGATATCTTTGTCACACAAGACCTGACTTAACATATAATGTAGGTATGATAAGTAGATTCATGTAGAAGCAAAAGGTATCACACCTAGCAACGACGAAGAGGATATTGAGGTATCTGAAATGAACTCTCGACTATGGCATTTTATTTCCTGCAGTTGATAAGGGAAAAGAATGTAAGTTAGTGGAATACACTGATTCGAGTTAGTGTAGTGATGCTAAGGATCAAAAATCTATAGTAGGATATGTGTTTATGCTAGGTGGTGCATCAGTTGCTTGGAGTTCGAGAAAGGAATCGGTAGTGGCATTATCATCACGCGAAACATAATACATTTTTGCTTCTCTTTGTGCATGTCAAGCAACATGGATGGTGAACTTGGTTGAAGAAATCACAGAGAAAGATCATGGAGCAATTACCATGAAGATCGACAACATGTTAGCTATCAATCTGGCGAAGAATCCGATAGCACATGGTCGAAGCAAGCACATCGAAATGAGGTTCCATTATCTTCGAGAGCAGGTAGCAGATGGGAAGATGAACTTGAAATACAACAGAACTGAGAATTGGGTTGCAAACATCATGACGAAGGGTGTATAGGTTGAAGTATTTCAAAGACTAAGAGCAATGATGAATGTAAATAGCTTAGACACAATGAATTAGGTGATCTGTTGAAAGTAATTCCTTGTGTCGAAGCAGTTTGCTCGACAGAGATAAGAGAATGTCGAAAAGATTTGATTTAATTTAGAAGTGTGGAAACAATTTGTTGCACACATATTTGTTTTACGCTTAAATAGATTTGATTTAGATCTAAAATAAATATATTTGATCTAGTTCCAAAATATGTATTTTGAGCTTTGACTTAGGGAGCAAACTAACCTAAAATTATAAATAGAGAGAGTAACCCATATTTTTTTTTGTAATCAAGTCAATTCATTGTATTCACAGAATTTAGAGTTGCAAGTAAATAATAAAGTTTTCCACAATTTATGGGCAAAGAGAAACTCTACAGGAAAAACCATTGTCTTCTTTCTTTCTTTTATTCTTTCATATTTTTCATTGTCATTGTATAATGATAACAATCTTATTCATCAAAATTGTGAGAAATTCATTATAGATTTTAGTGAATTTCCGTCGATAATATAATGCACATCCAATGATACATAATTGTGCAAAGAATGGAATGCTATTTATTTAACATTGGTAATTGATTGATACGTTTTATACAAGAAAAGGATATACATAAATTTAATTGATTGATACGTTTTATACAAGAAAGAAAAGGATATACATAAATTTAGTCGATGTTTATCTATTGTAAGTGTTACATGTCACGATGAATTAGTATTTTTGTATTTGATATCAAATTTTGTGAAATGTGAAAACTGAAAAAAGGGAGGGAGTAGTGTTATTTTGTAAAGAAAATAAAATAGAAAAAATAATTGGGTTTCGTCTCCGATCCCAAAAGGACACATTCAGGTAGCGACAAGAAGGCATGTTCCTATATTCTCTCTTTCACGCCGTCTTCTCTCCCCAACAGCCAATCCAATTTCACAAATTAAAAAAAAAAAAAAAAACACTTAATACTTTTGTTTTGTTCCAATTGAGATTAGTATTTCTTTATTTATGAGATGAATAATTATAAAACTCCAGCGTCAGTAGAGTGAGTGAAAGAAAAGTAATGGCGGATCCACAACCGCTCCTGCTCAATTCCGAGCCAACTCAGCTCAGACTCCCCCGAGTCGCCTCCGTTGATGTCTTCCGTGGCCTCTCTGTTTTTGTAACTTTCTCTCTCTTCGGTCAACGCTTTTCTTTACTTCTTTGACTAATCTAAAAACTCCAATTACCATTGCAGCTTATGATATTTGTTGATTATGGCGGATCCATCTTCCCCGTAATTTCTCATGTACCCTGGAATGGTATTCACCTCGCTGATTTAGTCATGCCGTTTTTTCTCTTTCTCGTTGGAATTTCACTAGCACTTCTTTATAAGGTACTTCTTCACTCCTTCTTCAGTTTTGCATCTTTTAAGTTTTTTTATTTTTTTTTATTTTTTATTTTTATATTTATTTTTTTTATAAAAAAATGTCAGAGAAGGCCACAGAGAACACAAGCTACATGGAAAGCATTTGTTAGATCACTTCAACTCTTTTTTCTTGGCATTCTTCTTCAAGGTCAGTGATCAACTATAATAACTACTCATTTCTTACTTTTCGAGCTTCACGTGTTCGATAAATAATTATTATCATTTCAGGTGGTTATTTTCATGGGATAACTTCCTTAACTTACGGTGTCGACATTCAAACTATTAGATGGTTTGGTGTTTTACAGGTACTATAATCTTTTCATGCTTCAATCTCTTTGTTGTTAAGAATTTGAAATGGTGAACTATGAATACATACAGAGGATATCTATTGGTTACATAGTTGCTGCTTTATGTGAAATCTGGCTTCCAACTCTGCAATGGAAACAAATGGGTTTCTTCAAAAGTTATTACTGCCATTGGTATGCTTTCAATTTCTTCACTAGTTATACTTTTACATACTTTTCCTTTTCCTCGTGATGTCACACTTGTTTTTTATGCAGGTTTGTTGCAGCAATATTGTTGGCGATTTACTCGGGTTTGTTGTATGGTCTATATGTTCCAGATTGGCAGTTTGATGTATCAGCCGCTACCTCTTCTTTGCCTCCAATTCACAGTGCCAATGTTTACAAGGTTAGAGTAGGCTACGTGTCTCCACGCTTCATTTTTCGCTTAACTATTTATTCTGTGCAGCAGTTTTTTGTTTTGAATTTGATGTTCTGCATAATATAGAAACATTGCTAGTCTAAGACACCTGTTTTAGGGATATTGTGAAAATGTACGTGTGATGTTGTTTGAGCTACAATTGATGAGTGATTCATTGTTTCCGATAGTAATACCTGCATATTCCTTCTATTTTCGCCTCATCCAATACTCACTATTGCTTGCCCAAATTTACCTGTTTATTATTACTTATGATTCTATTAGTTTTTTTTTTTATACTGGACGTCTGGACCTAACTCATTCTACAAAGCCGACTTGTAAGATGATGTGTTTCACGTTTATAAACTCTAGTCAGACTTTATCTTTAATGTATGCTGGACTAGAGTTTTTCTCAATAGTTTCGCTTGTTATAAACTATACTGCTGATGAAATTCAAAATATTTTTTTCATAATTTTTACAATTTTCTCGACTCCATATCAGGTGAATTGTTCGGTGAGAGGAGATCTTGGACCTGCCTGTAATTCTGCTGGAATGATCGATCGGTATATTCTTGGTCTTGACCATCTATACAAAAAGCCTGTTTATAGAAATCTTAAGGTATCTTATATATGGTCCCATTTCTTTGTTCAATGGTTTACATCATACTTTGACATGTTAATACCTTGATCATGTAACTTCCAGGAGTGCAATATGTCTAGCACTGGCCAAGTTTCAGATAGTTCTCCATCATGGTGTCATGCCCCTTTTGACCCAGAAGGCATTTTAAGGTAACTAGTCTACTTCACGTCTTCACATATGTATGAAAGTTTATCACTTAAAATTTGTATTTCCAACACAGTGATCTCATGGATTATTTAGACTATATAACTAGTTCAGGGTGATGTTATACTAAATCAAACCTGATTGATTTTTCTTTTAACCTCCTAGTCAAATAGTAAACTCCTTGCTGGACTTATGCTAAAAACAACTTCATAAACTGTGAAGGGCTCTTTTGCTAGGACAGGTTCAATCATCGTACTTAAAATAACTAACTTCAGTTAGTTTTGCAAGCTTCTTTCTCATTTATACATCGAATCGTTCTCTACTTTTGGAAAGACTGGATTGTGATGCCCTTTTAAAGCTTTAGTGAATATATACCAGAGGTCCTTATATTTTTGGAACAGCCTTCGCTGACTGACCTCATGTTTCTATGTTCTCTATTGTACACAATGGCGCGATGTGAAGTAATTTCATGCACTGATTCCTTCTATGATATTTTAGTTTTCATTTTATTATTATTATCTATTGTAAAAGGTTTGTTTTCTACTGAATAAGTTGCAGGTTTTGGTAGAATCTACTATTTCGCCATATTTACACCTTTTAGATACTCTATAAATTGTTGAGCAAGGAATACTAATTTAGCAGAAATTTATGTGATGGTTGTATGCTTTATACTAATATTCAAGTTATGTTGATCGGTATTCGGTACTAACAGAAGACAGTTTACAAATTATAATCCTTTTCATTTGTTTTCAGCTCCATAACAGCTGCAGTTTCATGCATCATTGGACTCCAATATGGTCACATTCTTGCCCATTTAGAGGTAAGACCATGTATTCGGTTAACTGAATATTGTATACATGTAAATTCTTTAATTTTAAATTTTAACTCAGTGGTGTAGTCATACCCTCCCCCCTTAACTTATGTTGGCACTATATCCTTTGATTATGCAGTAGAGCCGACTCAGCTGATCTATACTTTTCTGTAATACTGTAGGACCACAGAGGACGCATAAATCACTGGCTTGGCTTTTCAGTTTCATTTTTGGCTCTCGGATGGTTCTTGGCTATATTAGGTATGTTGGTACTCACTAATAATGATTCAAACACTTTCTCTTCATAATCATTGTTGTTACTTTTTAGCAAATCAATCCGTGTCTACGTTCACTGATGCATTTGTTTTCAGGAATTCCTCCAAATAAATCTCTATACACAGTCAGTTATATGATGCTTAGTTCTGCAGCTTCCGGTCTCACATTTATGGCTTTATATGTTCTGGTGAGTTCTAAATGCTGTGACAATAGAAAACTATTTGGAAGATATATCATCTAAGGTGCCTTCTTTGCAGCAATGATCTCTTGCAATGGAAATTTAAGGTTATATATAACGCGTGTTCGACAATGCAGGTAGATGTTTACGGTCACAGACGTTTGACAAGTGTGTTGGAGTGGATGGGAAAACACTCTTTGAGTATATTTGTCCTTGTATCTTCAAACTTAGCCGTGATTGCTATTCAGGGATTCTATTGGACGAAACCCGAAAACAACATTGTAAGCAAAGATATTGTTGCTGTTGCAAGCTAATTTATGTTTCCAAATGTTCCCAACAAACAATTGACTATATGGTTTGTGTGTAATTTTCTTTGCAGATACACTTGATCGTCTCGCGATTTCATCAGAAGTAATATCTTGCTTAGTCATTTTGGATATGCACGGTTCCATATCTCAAAGCAAAGTGTATATATTTTATTCAAATCAAAGTGACGAAAAGAGGATACAAACAAACAGAAGCATTCATGTATTGGTGACTGCGAATTGCACGTCTTCAATAACATAATCAATATGCATTATTAGTGACATTTTTTTGGGACATGTAAAATTGTCTTAGATATGTATAGGACATGTTCGATTCTTAAGAGGTGACAAGGCCTAGAATCTTTTCACGTAAAGTTTAAACAACTCAAGTCACACCTTTGATTAATCTAAATGCAGTTTTATTTATTTTTTATTAACTTCACTTGTATTAGCTAAGTCAATTCAATCTATAATAATTTAGAGGAATACTCTGTCCACCCTTAGTTGTTATCCCATACAAATATGAACACTTTTAGTTATTTCTCATATCAAATTAAAGAGGTGTCCTTTTTACGTTAAAATTTTATTTGGAGATGAATTTTTGTATGTGTAAAAAATACGTCTGAAGATGCATATCCGTAAATATTATTTATTCAAACAGTTGTGGGTGGTCCAGAAATACATCTCTGAACGTTTTTGATGCATGACTTTGTTCAAGCTTTGTGATCAAATTTCAAAATATATGAAATTCTTAACATATACCTCAATTATTTAACTCATGCATATAACATGAGAAAAATGTTTTTTGAAGTTGGGTTAATGATTCTAGTTAAAACTTTGAAGTCTTGCTTGATTTATGATTTTAACTTAGAAAATTTTCAAAGGTTTTAAAAGTGCAATCGATTGTGGTTATTGTGCAATCGATTGCAATACTCTTTGTCTGCGTAAAATTCTAGTAATTTTTAAGCAGTGCAATCGATTGCAATACTCGTTGTCCGCATAAAACTCTAGTAATTTTTAAGCAGTGCAATCGATTGTAATTTTTGTGCAATCGATTGTATCAATTCGGATTTCAATTTTTTTAACGTTGGTAGGGTGTGCAGTCGATTGTGGTTTTAGTGCAATCGATTGCACTTGTATCATAAATGAAAAATGTTTTGTTTTCTAACACCCATTCATCAACTCTTTTCATGGCAATCATTATATCATTTCACTAATAAAATTTCAGATTTTATTTAACCATTGCCATGATTTATGAATAGTTGTTTCATCATTATTAATGGAATTCAAAGTTTTATTTTTCATTCACCTCTTTCAAAATCTTCACAAAATCTCTCTGCATTATTTTCAACAGAACTTTCATACTTTGATGCCTTTTTGAGAAAGCTTTCATATCATTTCAAAAGCATCATTGAGCACTTAAAGAGTTTATGTTATTGATATTTCATATTTGAAAGAGAAGAAGACTTTGGTCATTTGATTAAATCTTGTCCATTATACAAACTTTCTTCTTATACAAATTATTATTGTGTTACAAATTTCTAAGTATCAAGGATTGTTTAATATTATGTGTGTTTCCTTATCATCCAGAATTATTGGAGATAAGGTTACAAGAAAGGGGATGCTTGTTTTCTTTTCTTATGGAACAAGTTTCAAGAGGATTGTTCTTCATAACTTGGTTATAAGTATTTTCTTATTGTCCATGATTGTTGGAAATAAGTGTGAAAAATCACAAGAGGATTGTTCTTAGTGATTTGGTTAGATAGGAATACTAGAAGAGTCTTGTCCATAAGATCTAACAATAACTCTTACATGTGGTAAGGGGACTAGACGTACTCTCATATTATAAAGGGAACTAGTATAAATTTCTTGTATTCTTTACTTTCTACACTTTACCGCTTTCATCGCTTAATCAAACCAGAAAAAGTTAGAACCAAGATTCATAAAACCTGATAAGGTTTTTAAAGTCCTAATTCACCCTCCCTCTTAGGCGCACTCCGTACTTACACTTCTATCATAGAACATCTTGTTCCTTTTTTCCATTTATTGAAACCTTTTTATGATAAAGGTCATTTCCTTATCATCAGAGTCACCATCGGAAACTTCTTTATCAAAAACTTCTTTGACTCATAGTGTTGTACTAGCTTTGACTTGTAGATTTCCTTCATAAGTAGAACACAAGGATTCAATGATAGTCTTAGCAGTAGACTTATCAATGATCTTGATATACTCAGGATGAGGTAGAACTTCTATCAAAATAACTCTAACTCTATGATGTTTTCTGTAAAATTTCTTTTGAGTTGGTGTGAGAGTTTTTCTATCAACAACCATTTCAACACCATTAACTTCAATGTTAATGCCATCTTCAAGGATATCCCACAACTCATCATCAAGACCAATAATATAAGTATACATCTTGATTTTTCACCATTCAAACTGAGTGGAATCACCATTGAATGTAGGTGACCTTGCAGAATAATGACTCTTTTAAGAGCACTATAATCATATAGTATACCACCACCACCAGCCACATTACTTACATTAGAAGAGTCAGTCATCTATTATTTTTTCTTCAGAATCTTTTAATGTACCACTGTTAAGTGTTTAACATAGATTGTACTCTGATACCAACTGAAAGTGAGAAAAATACACAAGAAAAAAGAGGTTGAATTGTGTATTGTGAATTCTTTTCGGTTCTTAAAATCAACTTCAGAAACTGAACAAGATCAGAATATAAACTTATAATAGTTAGCAGCAAAATGAAATAAAATGTAGAAGCAAGAAGTAAAAACACACACAAAGTTATCCTAGTTTCTCCCAAAAAAGAGAGTAGTCTAGTCCCCTTATCCACTAAGAGATTTTTCACTATAATCAATCAAATTGCACTTGCTCAAGCAAACTAGCAAGAGACTTCAAGTGCTCAATCACACTAGAAAGAGATTTCTGCTCAAGCACACGGACAAGAGACTTTCGCTGCTCAAGCAACATAGCAAGAGACTTCATATACTATTAAATAAATAATTTAGGAGAAACAGATAACCATTATACTTGATGTAATATTCATAAGTATAGAAGAGACAATATTTACACAAAGATTTTGTAAACACTTAAGATTTCTAAAATATACAAGGATAAGAAATCTTAAGATCTTGTGCAGTAAATAACTTTAGCAAAAATATGTCCAGCGTTGTTCTCTTGTTAAATTGTAAATTGTTTTTATTTAAATCTTCAACTCCTTATAAAGAGGTAGAAAAAGAGACGTTGGAGGAAACATGCACACATGAACATAATTCAGAAGCAGTTCCAAGAGAGAAATTGGAAGTTGATATATTAAGATCTTCATCTTATGTGTAATGGCATTAACCAAAGCGTATTTCTTCATACTAGGCGTATAGAAATATTGAGACTAAGCTATTGAACTGACTTAACTCGCACAAATCAAAATAAAAATCACAACCGCGCTTTATTGTTTCCAAAGGAAATGGGAAAAGAGCGAATAAACCCAAAAAGAGAGGGGAGAGAATTTAGGTACGGGGTTGGTTATGCAAACGGAAGGTATTAACACCCTAAACATCTACGGTACTCCACAGGAACCTCTTTGAAAAACTATGTATTTTGGCTATAAAAAGTGTATACAAAAATAAATGGTGGAGATGAGAAAAGAAGTGATTTTTTACAATTTTGCACTCGTCGCGGTTGTGAACCTTTAGTGCCTCGTACCACCTTTCGTGCAATAGGGGATCACATTCAAACCAGAAACAAATCAGAGTGAAACAATCAACCAAGGCACCACCCAATGAGGAGTAAAATCAAATGAGGATCAATTCCATCCAGATAATAAGCTGGGTAGGAAGGCTAAAGAAAAATTCTTCCATGAGGGATAACTCTGAAAAAATTGAAAGGATATACACTTTCTATTTAAGGTTGACAATCTATTGGAGAGAGAATAACTAACTCTGCAAAGAGATAATATGCCAATAAAAACAAACAATGAGTGCAAATGAAATATGAGTTTTAAATCAGTTATGCATTGTTGTATGTATGTATGAGTGTTATAGTGTATATGCTGACAAAATAGACATACCGCACTGGGGATTAACTAGGCAAAACCAACTTGGGTAAGGAAAACACTCGGCTAAATCACATCCAAGATGAAGATTCTATAAGAGAGTAAGCACCACTGAGAAAACAAAGTCCTACTTCATGGCTTAACTTTACTGGGAAGAAACACGGTTTGAAAAATATCAAAGTAAAATCTGATAGAAATAGTTTCAGGGATATACACCCTCTTGCAGGCTTCGCCGGAGAATATCATACAAACTTTGCTAGGGAAGATAATGCCACATCGTCTAGTCTTCAACTGAGGATTTCGTACTGACTTCACTAGGGAAAATGAAACCACGCACGCCGAGGGGAGCCTAAAAGCAATTTTCAATATCAAGGGTAGTGGTTGCGCAAACTTCTTTGGGGAGAATTTATGAAACTTACCGAGGATAACAACTTTAGAAGGAAGCATCATCTTCGCTTCACCCGAGGAATTAAGAAGTTAACAATATAACAAGAAGTCAAAATTGTGGGGATTTTAGATCAAACTCATCACTTGGTGAGAGAGAACCCAAAAAGTTGACTGTTGTTTCAATACTTCTTAGAAAAGATACTACCCTTGTCTGGATACTTGGGGAGTACACAACAACAACAACAATGTCGTGACTGGAGGGAACAATTCTCTGCAAGATATTTTACATCCATTCTCAACATACAGGAAGAAAGAATTCAATCAACTAAGCAAATACTATATAACTTTGCAATCTCTGCCTGATCATCACCTGGTTGGGGAAAGAATCACACCCAGCTAGAGAAACCTGAATCAAGACTTAGCTGAGGAATATGGGATTACAAACCCAACATCATACCATATATCAACTGGTATGAAATCCAACAATCCAAGGAAAAAAATCACAAGTGAGCTACGCGTATATCAACAAAGTAACCCGGGATACATCTTAGGGAGAAATTATGAAACTTCATAGTTCATCCATCCTTGGAAACACTACTTTGTCCCACTTGAATCACATAATTGAGGTAAGAAGTAATTTGCAAATTCTTTTCA